GATTCTTGCGCGGGCGGTGGGAGTTTGGGTTTTAGTGGGTAGCCCAATATGCTTCGTTGGGAGTCCCACACTCGCGGAAGGTAGAGATTAGCGACCCTGGCCAGTGCATAAAGCATTTCCCTCTCCTACGAAAAAAAAAAACAAATAGATTGGCGCTTACACATATGAGTAGTCCACTTGCAAAGTGCTCTATGTAAAGTTTTTTCGATTTTTAGTAGTTGCGGTGCCTAGTGGAAGAAGTCGTAAAAAAGAAGTAGATCAATCGTCATGGAAGAGAGAATGCGAAAAGCTAAAAAAGCTAGCTATGTAAAACTTACTGTTTCAAAATTCGCTATATTAATTTTTTATATATAAAATTTGCAAAAACTACTATACTGCGGTTTTGTTTTTTAATGTTATTAGGCTCTTATTTATCCAAATTTTCAGATAAAAAAAAGATACAATTTGGATTTTACTTGTTGTAAACGTTTTTTTTTTAAAGGTTGGTTTTTATCTTAAAATGTTATTCTGGTAATCACATTTATATACTCTGAGTTTTAGAACTACCACATAGATAGCTTTCCAAAGAAAATAATTAGTAAATTTAATCTCGCTAACTTCAAAGCACTTCCACTTTTTTATTCCGAAATAAACGTCTTTTCCGGATAATAAACAAATCGCTTATCCAAATATAAACAAATTTGGTATCATATGAAAGAGGACTGAAATAGATTTTAAACAGAAAAAACGAACGAAGATTTATAATTTTTTTTATAATCTAATACTAAAGAAATTCATTTAAATAACTACCTATCCCAAGGTTTGTTCTATGGTTATTAATTAACATTTTTTATTGAAATATTTTGCAATGTGTGGCTTTCCTCGTTTAGACAATTCAGTTTTAAGGCTATTTTAAGTCCTCTTTCATTGGATACCAAACTTGTTTAATTTGGATAAGCGGTTTGTTTATTATCCGGAAAGTACATTTATATTGCGGAATAAAAAATATTTGGCCAAGTTTAACTCGTAATAAAAAAATAACTGTAATTTTCGGTCCCTTCAATATTCGCATTCGCAAAAGATCCGCATTGATTTTTGCGAATGCGAAAGCGAATGCGAATGTTAAAATACGCGGTTTTGCAGAATAATGACGATACGCGGTTTTGTACTTTAAAAGACGATATATATGTGTATTTGCATATCGATGGTCCTTTCTAATAAAGACACAATTCAAAATTCAAAAAATAAAAACCGTTACTACTGTTAAGTGACTCATGCTTTTAACCCTTGTCTAATCCATGTCCAATGCTTGCCAAAGTAAGTGGTAAGGATTAGATATGAATTAGAAAAGGATTTGAGACATGAGCCACTTAACAACAGTAAGGTGTTTTGTTTTTTTTTTTTTAATTTTGAATTGCGTCGTTATTGCAGAGGACCATCGATATATGCAAGTTTGTTTGTACAAACGTTTAAACTATAATAATTGTCACATACCGTATCATATTTTTTTATATGTGGTTCCTTGGCTAAATCCTTGTCAATTGGCTTCGTTGGTTTCGGATAGGGATAGTACACCAGCTTCACTCCGTTTTCCTGACTCAAAATGTATTGCGAGAACCACCTGTCGTATTTTTCACCGCACAACATCGCATCCAATGGAGCACCAAATACCGATGTGTGTATATCGATGCCCGGCGCTTCATTAATTAGCTTACTAAAATCTAATTCCAGTGTTTCCATGCCGGGTGCATTGATTTCTAGCTTTGTTGGTGTTACCAGTTTCGAAGCAATCAAAACCATCTTAGGGTAGCCACGAGCTGTTAACATTAAATTGTTACTATCGACCAGCATCAGCGCACGATCGCGAACGCTCTCGTAACGTAGGCCCAGCACTTCACATTCCAGTTCAGTGTCTTCTGGCATTTTGAGTGGTGCACCTGATTTCAATGGGAAGAATTCGAGCATTTCTAAGATGCCCACACGCTGCCATTCTTTTGGCATGACATCTTGCTTCCAGTATTTGTAGTATAAATAAGAAGCACTCGATACGGCAGTCACTCCAATGCCAACGCCAAAGCTGACTAACATTTTGGTGGAAATTCCACTGGTTGAATCTAAGACGAGAAAATGTGCAATTAAATGGAAAAGCAACCTATGGGATTTAACGCAGTTTTATTTACTGGACATTTCGCACTAGTAATCCGTTGTAGCACTTTCTTATCACTTAACGATTTGTTAAAGCTAATTTTTTTATAGGTAGTACATTTGCGAAACACTTCGTCCCTATCTTGATTCGACTGTTCGCAATGAGCGACTGAGAGTAGTCGTGTACTTGCCTTCTGAATGCTTTGTTAGGCTACAAATACATATGTATGTATATCTATAAGCATCCAAATGTGTATGTAAATAGATACCGTTGTATTTGCATATCGTTACCTAGAGGTGAAAAGGAGCCAATTCCATTTTTTGTAATTATTCAGGAGATACTAAAAATCGATGTAGTTACACGCATTATCTGTCATTCTGCATCTAAAAGTAAATTTTGAAAAAAATGTGGACTTGGCATCTTCTCACATTTAGGTAGCGATATACAAATGCATTCATGCACAGCTACATATATAAATACATATAGTTATATGAAAGAAAATTTTGAAAAAAATGGGCTCGATATTATGTACATATGTTAGGGATATATATCGAGCCTTAACCGCCAAAATAGCGTAAGCGACATTTTTTTCAAAATTTTATTTTTGATGCAGAAATATTCCTGAGCCTCTAGATGCATTTCTACATCAAAAATAAAATTTCGAGAAAAATGTCGCATACGTTATTTTGGTGGTTAGCACTCGATATGTATGATCTGTAAAAATTTGTATATCAAAAACAAAAATTTTTAACTAATACGCTTTTGCAAAACATGAGCGATCTGTATGTATGTAAATAAATGTCAACTTTCGTTGTTTTTTTTTAGTGGGCGGAACTACGGGGGAGCAAAGTGGACTTTAGATGCTCATGCGCCGTTGCTGATGCATTTTTGTATTTATCGCTCGTTTAAGATTGTGTCGACCTTCTATTGAATTTGGTATTCAACAGTTACTTGGCTTTATGAGAAAGCGCGAATGTCTAGCAGTGGACTCGCGGCCTTGGTGAATTCTACGTTGAACTGAAATAATCCTTTTTTACAGGAGAAGCAACGAGCGTCAATGTCAATACAGACGATTCTGTGTGTGGAGATTTTTGGAAAAGCTTAAACTTACTTTAATAAGGATTAGATATGGATTAGAGATAAGAAACACTTAACAATGGTAAGGGTTTTGTTTTTGGGAATTTTGAGTTGAGTCGTTATTGCAGATAACCATCGATATGTACATATAAGATCGCTATAGATTATTTTAAATAAATATTAGCCGGCCTCGTATGAGCGAGGCTTCGCCACGCGCTGAATGTGTAGATATTAAATAAGATCCGATTGACAACTAAACAGGTTGCAACCCTACTAAAAATTAATATATAATTGCGCTTCTGGAGGCCAAGCCCTCTCGTTTGACCCCTCATTTCTGGTAATCTAACGAACAGCTCACATTTTTTTATTTTTCGCACAGGTTGCAACCCTCTTCAAAAAATAAAACCTTACTGCAAATCGGAAGGTCAAGCCTTTCCTTTGACACCTCATTTTTTTAAATTGAATGAACTGTGCAAACCTAATCTCATTAACAAAAAGTGCCCCGCGTATTATACATACATAATTTTTAAATAAGTGGCAACCACACTCAAAAAGAAAATATAAACTTATTGCACTAGGTACCTCAGTTTTCAGTCCAACAAACGGTGAAGATCTTATAATTTTTAAAAAAGTGGCAACTCTATTAAAAAAAGTAATACATTATTGAACATCTAAAAGCTAAGTCCTTTTAGTTGAGACCTCATTTCTTGTAATCCAACGAAGAGTGCGGATCTAATAAGTTCTTAGACAGGTGGCAATCCTATAGGAATTTAAAGTACTAAAGATAATATTCCTATCGATACAGGTTATACTTCAAAAATCTCGTATAAATCCGTTCAGTAGTTTTTGAGATTAGCGTGATCAAAATATCTCGACTTTCCTTTATACTATATATAGAAGATAGTAATTT